AAGCGTTCATAGTCTCGGAAATAAAGTCAAAGCTAAGCTTCTTAACGGAAGAAACCTTGATCACATATGTATTGAATTTAGTGGGATTATTATTCGTGGAGTGCAGTATAGCATTACGCTCTCCAATGATCGATAGTAATTTTAAGAGCTACTGAGGCGTGGGAAACACTTCTGAGACATGTCATTTACAATGAGTCATGTAACATTTAAGTTTGGGTACTGTTTGGTTAGAAACATATTTAAACGATTACCACTGTCTCCCACTACTGATGAGAAGCACTTGAGTACACAACAGCCACACATGCTTAAGGTGACAGCTTCCTAATATTAAGAAAACTAAACACAATGTTAGTTTCCACTCCATAGTTATATGGTAAATTCAGGCACAGTATGAATTAAGTGCAGTCAAAGCCGAAAGTTCAGCAAGATGTACTTGAAGAATAGTAATGTTGACACTTTGAACCCTGAGGCTAAAACCATGGGATCAATACTTGACTCAGGAAGCACGTTCTCGATTGCCTAGTAGCTCGGACCAGGTAAGTCAGTCGGTACTGATGGGTTACACCACCGATTGTTGTAATCCATCATTGGTATTATTTCAACGCCACCCGTTCGACATGTCGCTTTTCCGAACTAAACTACTAAGAAATTAAAAGGACGTTGTTAAGCCTATTCCTAGTGACAGAAAGAGGAAGCTCATATCTAACTACATACACACGTCTGACTAGCACATTGGTCAACGTAGTAGAAAGCACTTTGAGATTAGTTGCTTGTTCACGTAGAATCACGAAATCTGTTAACTTCAGGACGCACCTTTGTTGATAAACAACCTCGTCTGACTAATCTACTCAGTTAAAAAGGCTACGCACTGTTTCAAGGCAGTAGACTGTCTACCGATATTATATTCTCACATTTTCGAGAGTTACTAAGTAATATGTCTTAATCAGGACCTATACAGAACCTTCCCATCTTCGGAATAACAGGTCCCATACTCAGGAGTTTTTCGCGGAAATGAGATTAAAATCCTCGAAATTTTTACCAGCTCGGAGTTTCTCCTCCAAAGCTTCCCCAGACTATAGAGAAAATTACTCATTTGTGAGTGCCTTTGTGGAAAACCCCAGAATTTACGCAAGCCATTGGACTGTGTTACAATCTAAGTTCAGACTAAACATTTTCTTTGGCAGAAGACAGTGCGGATATACAGCACCCCAAGTAATGAACTCGACATCAAATATAGGTGCAAAATCCATGGTTGAACAAACAAATTTCTCAGCTGAGAAAACGAAACGTCTATATTTTTATTACCCGTAGTTATCTAAACTCACTTAAGGCCTCACGACAACTTGCTTGTTGTAATTACCAAACACACACGACCTTGAAAGTACAATGTTCAGTCTTCAGTCTTCAGTCTTCAGTAATAAGGATAGGAGGTCTGTCGACCTATATTAATCCTTGCAGTTTGTAATACTATCTTTGTGGTGTGGTTGTATGAACCAATTGATTTCTTTCAAATGGTTCAAATGGTTGTGGACAGAATAGAAGAAGCTTTCGCTTAACAGGCTTCCGTGTCTAGTAGCAGGGGATCGCCAAATCCTCCAGGCAGGAACCTAAGTATGGTTTCAGTTTCAGTTTTCAGTTTCAGTTTGGGAAGGACAGGAGGCTCGATGGCCTATGTTAGTCCTGGCAATGTTGGTCTCTCAGTTGATCCAACTTTCTTTGGAAAGAGTCGACGGATGGAGCCTCAACCACGTGCTGAGGTAGTGAATTCCACTCGTTGATGATTCGATGGGAAAGTCGATAGTCAGTTGACAAGTAATTTGTTCTCGGCTTGTGAACTTTTTTGGAGTGTCCTCGTAAATTCTCTGTTTTGGAAGACAAGAAAAATGAGGGCATGTTAGGTGCAAATTTATCACTAAACAATTTGTAGACTGTAATCAAGTCGCCTCTAGTTCTGCGATATGACAACGGGAAAAGGTTCAGCTTGGCCAGTCGAGATTCATACGGAAGCTTCGCTATTCCGGGAACCAGCTTAGTCGCCGTTCTCTGAACCTTTTCCAGAAGCTCACTGTCTTTTTTAAGCAGGGGCTAGCCGCTTGTATGCAGTACTCAAGTTTAGGACGAACGAACACTGTATACAAAGTCAAAAACGTTTTGGCGTCGACATGACTAAAAGCCCTACGTATTGACCATAACGTTCTAAAACTTTTGGCGGCTATTGCACGGCAGTGTGCAGTAGTCTTTAAGTCTTGACTAACGATAACTCCTAAGTCATTATATGTCTGGACGACAGGTAGCTCAGTGTTATTCGTCGTGTATGTATCTGTGCCTTGATGACCGATATGCATCACAACACACTTGGAAATATTTATCGGCAACTGCCATGTTTGAGACCATTCAGATAATCTCTTCAGGTCATTTTGAAGTTCTAAGCTATCACTCTTACATCGTATCGTTCTCCATATCTTGACATCGTCAGCATATAGCAAGACCGATGATGATAGGAGACAAGGAAGGTCATTTACATACAAGAGGAATAGCACTGGCCCCAAAACTGTACCCTGGGGCACTCCACTAAGCACAGTTTCCCAGCTAGATAACTTTGAGTTCACCCGAACTCTTTGTTGACGCCCAACTAAGAAGTCTTTTATCCACATCAATAAATTGCCTCCAATCCCGATATGTCTTAACTTATATAACAGCCGGTTGTGCGGAACTTTATCAAAAGCTTTACTGAAATCAATGAAGGCGACGTCTACAGGTAGCTTTTGGTCCTTAAGAGCACACCAGCTTTCACGAGCCACTAATAAGTTAGTGAGACAAGAATAACCTATTCTGAAGCCATGCTGCTTCTCCGAGAGGATCCGGTTTTTATCGAGATACTTAAACAGCTCCTTCCGAATAATCTTTTCTAAGATTTTAACAACCACACTAGTTAGGCTAACGGGGCGGTAGTTCTCAGGTTTGTGTTTCGTGCCTGTTTTGAAGACAGGACTTACTATGGCGTTTTTCCAATCTTTCGGTAAGCGACCCTGCGTAACGGATAGGTTAAAGCATGTACTTAAAGGGTTCGCAACGAAGTTAGATAATTCCTTCAGTAGCCTAGGATGTAATTCATCGGGCCCCGTGGATTTACCTATGTCAAGCTTATTTAGCAGACCAAAGACATCGAGTTCTTTAATGGTCACGCTATCCAGTGTATGTATGGGGGGATCTGTATACGCTGACGAGAAGGGTGCTTCTATGGTATACACGTTGCTAAAGTAGTTCGAGAACGCTTGAGCCTTACCAAAGTCGTCCTCCACTAATGATGAAGCAGTACTGTCTCCCCATAGAGCAGGAATATTTCCTTTTCTCCTTGTCCTTTGGTTTATATAGGAATACAAGCGTTTAGGACATTCTATGGATTCCTTAACAAGTTTTTCTTCGTACAATTTTCTAGACTTACGGAGGGTCGAGGCACAAGTGTTCCGAGCCTTTCGATACTGAGATTTTGACTCATCAGTCCCCAGTAACCTAAATCTATCCCACGTTTTCCTTTTCTTACGGAGAAGGATACGGACCTCCCTACTGAACCATGGTGGTGAGTTTTTCGGCCCCTTTGGTATAGTCCAAGGGATGTGAGGTGTGGTAACTTTTAAGTATGATTTTCGAAATGCGTCCCAGGCCGTTTCAATGGAGGACTCTGGGTCTATTGTCCAATCTATTAACGATGCTGAGTGCATGATGTCTGGTATGTTTGCTTTCCAGACGTTGGGTCTGGACTGGACTGACGCGTCCTCATGACTGGCAGTTATATGGAAGTCGAAAGTTAAAACTGCGTGGTCACTTTTACCTAAGGGTGGCATATGGTGGAGGTTCGCAACATCATCCTCATAGTGAGTCAGTATAAGATCTAATAAGGATGATTCAGTGTCCGGGTCGTACCTAGTCGCTTCTTTCACATGTTGCACTAGAGTACATGTGATAACCGCATCAACTAGTTCCTGCTCGAAGGGATTTTCTGACGAGTCAGTTCGCAGATTTTCCCAGTCTTCCATAGGTGCACTAAAGTCCCCCACGATTGGAAATCGACCACTTTGTGACCAAGTATTGAGACTGCTTATCTGGACCTCATTTACCTCAAAGCTTGGACTGCGATAGACCAAACCAATCAGCAGCTCTTGTCCCTTGCATTTTAAGCGAAGACTAACTAATTCACACGTCCCACTCTCATGGGATACACTATCGATAATGGTAAATGGGATAGCATTCCTAATGAATAGAGCTACTCCCCCTCCTTTGCGCTTTTGTGTTCTGTCGGCCCTTACTAACGTAAAGCCCTCGAAATCAAGTTCTATACTATCTATAGCCTGTGTCAGCCAGGTTTCTGTTACTGCGATTATATCTGGCTTTATAGAGTCAATCTGTAATAATAATAATAATAATAATTTATTCTCAAATAACAGTTTGTTACATGAGGCATGCCAGTTTACAGGCAAGATCAAATTGATACAAATGATACAATATACACTGTATTAAATTACATAGCTGGGTTGAAAATTTATAAGACATGAATGTAGATTGTTTTAATCAGTACTACAGTTGGCGCGCTTCACGAGAGTTGCGTTGCGAATGTGCGACTGACGATCAAGAATAGGTCCATTGAAGGTATGAGCTTCTAGAAATCGCAACCTTATGTCCCTTTGGGATATCCAAGGCTTTAAGGATGGTGCAGGATGATGTAACCTGTTCCATATCTCAAGGGAGCTGAAAGAGGGAGGAAGTAAAAGAAAACACGAGAGGCAGAGTAGCCAATATTCATGTAGGAATGTTTAAGGTATGATTACTCAGTCTAATTTTCTTTTATTAAAGTATTTGTTAAGAAAGAGCATTTTAATAGGTTAAAGAAAATAAGCTTTAGCAAGGTGTGAGTGGACATACAACTGACAAATGGAGGCGACCTAGTTCCGATCGCTTATTAAGTAAGCTTCGTGCATTGGTGTAACAGATCCGAAGCCTCTTTAAGTGCCTTCGTGCTTCACCCAGAGTGGCTTCGGCATCATTCTCTGTCGAAGTCTTACAACCCGAAAATTTACAATTTTCAGGTCCTTTTCGCCAGCGTCTAACCTATGTTGTAGTTCTTTCTCGGCTTCCCGTCTTTTAACACGGTCTGCCAACGGTAGGTCCTTTCGGATAAAGACTCCTGAACCCTTTAATTTGTGTCCATTTTGTAAAATTAGGTCACGTTCGTTCGAAGAGCCGAATGCTACTTTAAGCAGTCTGGAATGATTTGGTTTCGAGTCCGTTAGACTCCCTAGTCTATACACCTTTAGCAAGGTGACCCCAGTCATATTTTGAGGCATGAATTGATTAAGCAGCTGCCTAATCAGTACAATGTCATACTCAAAACGAGCGTTAGGTTCAGAGCTATCGCTCTCCTTAATTCTATGAAAAATAGCTGATCTGTCGCTATGATCAGCTTTCGATTTTTCAACCACTTTTACGGGGCCAGGTTTCCCTTTTATATCAATACTTTTCTTCCTTACAACCTTTACCCATTCGTCAACGCTGCTGGTAGAAGCAATAACAGTTGCGTCAAACCTAGTGTTAGGTTTTAGGGGGTTGTCGACGACCTGAGTAGTCGTGTTATGTTTACCATTTGAAACCGATCGAGCCATGCGATTGCGGCTCCTAGGTGTTTCCTGTTGGATCCCATCTGGGAGACGGGGAAAAGAAGACCCTACTTTTCTTGAGCTTTTTTTAAGGCAGGCCCCTTTGGAGACTGCTTTTTCTTCTTTGACGAGCGTGAGTCATCTATCACCGGACTCACCTTAGTTTCCTTCACATTGATTTGCGTGTCAACAGATCGAGTGCTGTTTGACGCGTTCCGACTATGCTTGTTGAAACACTTCTTTGCAGCATCAACCAGTGAGATGGCCTCGGTTAACAAGCTGTTTGCATCCGAGCAGCACTGTTGACAAAGCCACACACAACCCTTCTTACTGAGCCGTTTGAAAGCAGCAGGCGTTAAGTTCGTGCAAACTTCGTGGTACCAGCCTTTGGACTCGTCGCACTGCATGCCGCTTTCAACAGGATAACGACAACCCGGACGTTGGAAACTGCTTTTTTTACACTGTCCGGTCATTTAGGAGGGGTTTTTTTCAATATGCGATGATACCCAGAAACAAAAAAATTATCAATGACCAAAAAAGTGAAGAGCTGTAGATTGCTAGGACCAAAAGTACTAACAGATACAGTTGAAAAAGAGGTACTAAAGAGTACCAACGACAAAACAGTAAAAACGATACTTTAGTCAAATACTTTAACTGAAATAAATTCAATTAAAGTGAAAAACAGTAGTCTTGATACGTAATAAACGATCAAAACAATGAAATTTACTCAGCGAGGAAAAATACCACTGTCCTTTTTAAATAGCGCGCGTGGTAACAATAAAAGAGGAAAAGAAATTGGTAAATCATAGTGTGATGCTGTCCTTGGTCCTTAAGAATAGGTCAAGTTGCCTCTTGAAGGACTCCTGAGAAGTCGCTTGGACTAGCTCGGCTGGCAGCGAATTCCAGCTTTTGACAACTCTTAAGGAGTAGAAGTTGTGTCTACATTCCGTCTTGCTATGTTGTGTTTCCAGTTTCTGGGTGTTACCCCTTAGGTTATTATTCGAACTAAGCTTAAGTAGGTGTTTAAGAGGATGTCCAGAAGTGTTAAGAATACTATAAGCCATTAATAAATCACCTCTAAGACGCCTATATTCTAATGGGTAAAGGTCTAGTGAACGGAGGCGTTCTTCGTAAGGCTTAGATTTGAGTCCTCGAACTGATTTCGTGGCTCGCCGTTGGATACGCTCCAAAGTGACCTTGTCCTTTTGGAGTGAGGGGGGAAGTACTATGTTTCCGTACTCTAAATGGGGACGGATGAAACTATTGAAGATTGTGTGGAAAGTTCTTCCGTCAAACTGTCCAAAAATGCGCTTCAACGTTACCAGTGCAAGGTTTGCTCGGAAGGCATTTTTGTCACAGTTAGCGTAAGACTTTAAATCATGGGGCACCAGGACTCCTAAATCTTTTTCGACTTGGGATACTACTAGAGAGGAGTTTCCTAAGTTGTAACTGTAGTTTGCAACATGTCGCAGATGGACTACTTTACACTTTGAAGTGTTAAAGGTAAGTCCGTTATCGTCTGCCCAACTTTGAAGTCGAGTCAGATCCTCCTGAAGTGCCTGTGTATCGTCTTGGTTGCGTATCTCTCTCCAAAGTTTCACGTCGTCGGCAAAAAGTAATAAATCTGACGTTACCTGTTGAGGAAGATCATTTATGTAGATCAAGAAGAGAAGAGGCCCTAGTACTGAGCCCTGGGGGACCCCACTAGGACATTCCATAGCCTGAGATAAAGTGAAATTAACCCTAACCTTAAAGTGTCGATTTTTTAGGTATGAAGTAAGCCAATCGATTAGAGGTGGTTTGATACCTAGTCGTTTGAGCTTGTTGATAAGACACAAGTGGTTAACCTTATCAAAAGCTTTTGAGAAATCAAGGTAAATGACATCAACCTTTCCCTTGCGATCGAGGATGCTTGTCCATCTGTCCACCGCAGTCAGCAGGTTGGTTATACAAGAGTAACCCTTCCTGAAACCATGCTGTTGGGGTGAGAAGAAATTTAAGGACAGTAGATAGTCATTTAAACCGTCGCATATCAGGGACTCCATGAGTTTTGAAGGTAATGACAGAAGAGCCACCGGCCGATAACTTGAAGGTTCATTGCGTCGACCACCTTTGAAAATTGGTGTGATGTGAGCCAACTTCCAATTTTCCGGTAATTTGCCTCGGCTAAGCGAGTGTGAAAACATCACGCTAAGCGGCGTTGCCAGGATTGAGGCTGCCTCCCTCAGTATGGCAGGATGAACCATATCCGGGCCAGGAGAAGTGTCTAGTCTTAAGTGCTGCAATTTCCGGAACACCAAGTCAGCGCTTAGGTCCACTTCAGAAAGTCCTGTGGAATTGCAGATGAAACTGTCGTCAGTAAAGTTGATGTCAGCCGGTTGAAATGTTTGAGAGTAATGTGCCGCCAGAAGGTTAGCGGCGTCGCCATCGTTGTTGGTCGGGCCGTTAAGACCTACCAGTTGAGAAACTCCTGTTTTGGCTTGACGAAGAGAGGCTGCATAACGGAATAGGCTTCTAGGGTTAGAGGCGAATTTGTCCATAAGCTTTGTTTGGTACTGAAGCCTGTCTTCTCTTATAGCCTTCGTGCATATGTTCCTGATATGTTTATATTGCCTATACGCTCCATCGTTATTAGTTCGTTTGTATTCCGCCCAACAGTGCCTTTTGCGGCTTAGCAGGCGAAGGGTACGGTTCTTGATTACTGTAGGTGGCTTGCAGCTTTTGGGAACCGTTTGAGGAACTGAATGGTTTGTAGCACATAAGAGCGTGTGCAGTAAGAAGTCCCAATGACCATCCACATCGAGTTGAGGGTGAACATCCCAAACCACCTGTTGTAGATAGTCATGTAGAGCTGGCACATTCAGCCGTTTAAAATTCCAACGCAAATTATTGTTGGGATACCTTAGCTTAGTTTTGATGACAAAACTGAAGGCTATGACGGCATGATCGCTCTTTCCCAGAGGAGCCAGGATTGAGAGGTTGTCGACTAGGAATTCTTCGTTAGTGAATACACAGTCTAAGCGCGATGGTGTCTGACTGTTTCTCCAACGAGTTGCCGACCTCACATTTTCATATAAGCCCAAGTCATCGATGAGGTTGAAGAACCGAGCTTCAATTGAGTTGTCGCCTCCAGTGTACGTGTGTTCCGCGAAGTTGACTCTAGGGAGATTAAAGTCCCCTAGAATCAGGATGTGTGTGAAACCGAGACGGATAGAGCGGGATAGTCCTTCCAGCATACGACTATCGTACTCGATGTCGGCAGTTGGCTTCCTGTAAATGACTCCGACTAGACACCTCGAAGTACTAGACAATCTTACAGAGCACCATATGGATTCCTCAAGATTGTTAAACTCGAGGTTGTGAACTTGGTGCACCTCCAAGCAAGAGCTTATGTATATGGCTACTCCGCCCCCAATTCCTGTTTTTCTGTCGTTGCGGAACAAAGTCATCCCAGGTAATGCTAACTCTTGGTCCGAGAACTGAGAAGATATCCAGGTTTCAGATATTCCTATCAGATGGGCCTTATTAGCGTTGCTAAGTTCACGTAGTTCATCCAGTTTGTTTGGTAGACTCGCGGCGTTCATATATAAGCAGTTTATGCTTTCAATTTGGAACGCGTGAGCTTCGTCCTGTTTTTCTGTATGAACCTTATGTGAATGGACAGGTAGCCCACCTATATGAGGTTTGCCGAGGTGGTAGGCCCTGTCCTTTACACGTTTTTTTTATCGTTTAGACAGTCCACAAGTGGAATGGTCAGCTCCAACTTGCCTTTGTTCTTGGTCCTAGCTTCGTATGGCCTATCCGGGTGCATGTGGATTCCAGGTGGCAATCGACGTCTGTTGGCACGAAATGCTTCCAGAACTGCAGCCGCCATGTGGGAAGATGGGAAGGTTATCTTCATTAGACGGGGTCTAGGATCACCGTCCTTCTTGGCTAGTCTCGTCACATGCTGAGTCAGTATGTGTTTGAGCCTCAAGGACTGTTTGATGAATTTCCATTCCCTGATGTCAGAATTTGATTGAGTAGGGTCTGCATTTTCCGGTATACCTTGCACAATTATGTTTCTTCCGCGGAAAAACTTCTCGCGAGATTCTTTAGGGATGTTTCGTATGATATTGCGCTCAGAGTACGGTATGTCGGGCAATATTCTTACGTTACCATCTGATTTCAGCAAGTGACTTGCTAGCAAGACGTCCTCTACGTCGGTAGCATTCTTAAGTGTTACTCGGAGAAGCCTCGGGTGATTTAGATGCTTAGAATCCTTTCCTCGAGTGAGCCGGGTGACCGTCAAAGGCTCTATTCTAGGAAGTTCGAGCTTCTTGTTCAATTCACCCCAGAGCATCCTGTCGTTTTTGTCCTGCAGACTGAGAGGAAGGTCAGGATTGTCAACGAGGTTCATGATAATGAGAGAATCGTCACGAACTGTTGTTAATTTACCAGGTTTCACGATGGGTTCAGGTTTAATAACTTGTTGTTTGGAGGTCAGTGTGCGTTTTTGAATCTTGGGCTCTTTATTGACCGGACGAACAGTCTTGGGGGTAGACTGTGCGACCAAATCACCAGTTATTTTCCGTGCAGCAACACTTGGGTTGCTCGGCTTAGGCGGTGATGCCTGGTTCTTTTGGGCTCTCTTAACGTGGGTCGAATCACCTACAGGGTTTTTGGGAACCACTGTTGTGTTCAGGGACCCTGAGCTGGGAGACCCGAGTTTGCTTAGGGAGTCTAGTACCGTCGACGTAATGATGGTGCTGAGCCTCGACACGTCATCATTAGTGTTGATGGATGCTCCATCGGTGGTATACCTGTCGACATCCCTATTTTTGTATCCGTCGCACGCTCTTGTTTGTCTACCGGTTTTTTTACTATCGTTATCCAAGTTAACTGACAACTTGTTCCGAAGACCTGTCAGTAGGACAATGATGTTACTCAGCAAGACTACAGCGTCCGTGCTGCACGTGACACACACCCACTTTTGCTCTGACTTGCTGAGTCTGTTGTAAGCAGTT